TCATGCAAGGGGTTAGGCCAGTGATGGCGAACCTATGACATGCGTGTCAGGTGACACGCGAACTCATTTTTCAGTTGATTTTTCTTTGTTAAATGGCATTTAAATATATAAAATAAATATCAAAAATATAAGTCTTTGTTTTACTATGGTTTGCAAATATCAAAAAATGCCTGTATGTGACACGGTACCAGAGTGAAGTTAGGGTTTTTCAAAATGCTGACACGCCGAGCTCAGAAGGTTCGCCATCACTGGGCTAGGCCCTCGCAGCCCTGGCTTTGTCCAGAAGGTCGTCCCGATGGTCGTTCCGCCGTTCGGCCATCCGGTCCAAGTAGCATATTACGTTTTTATTTTTATAAATGTTTTAAATCATGAAACTGAGGCCACGTCTGCACAGGCTTGGGCGCAGGGACGTGTCAGGATTGGTCTCAGTGGGCTGGACACAGAGCCGCGTGGCTTCTAAAGCAGCCAGACCTGACATGCCCCTGGAGTGAAAGCACTGAGGGCTGAACATACCCTCAGAAGTAAATCTTTTCGGACAGCGGCTTTCAGGATCCACAAGGAAAGTCACCATGGGCTACCCTTTCAGTCGGCTTTTGAAATCCCTTAGCCTCGACCCAAGAGTGAGACCCACAGACATCACTCCATAAACAGCCTCACGTTGCTGTAGCTTTTTTTTAAAAATATATTTTATTGATTTTTTTTTTTTACAGAGAGGAAGGGAGGGGGATAGAGAGTTAGAAACATCGATGAGAGAGAAACATCAATTCAGCTGCCTCCTGCACACCCCCTACTGGGGATGTGCCCGCAACCCAGGTACATGCCCTTGACCGGAATCGAACCTGGGACCCTTCAGTCCGCAGGCCAATGCTCTATCCACTGAGCCAAACCGGTTAGGGCTGCTGTAGCTTTTGCTGGGCTAAATCCTTGGCTGCAAAACGCATGGAAGAAAAGAGGGGTGTGAGCTGTCGGGGACTTTTTACTCGGCCACGCGGTTATGGGCCGATCTCCTGGGGTCGCCCTTAAGAGCGAGACCCCTGTCATGTCCCGGGTTGATGCTATTTCCCAAGCAACGCTCCCCCCCCGCCGCCCCGCTGCCCCGAGATTGTGTTTCCCACGCGGACCACTAAACATCTCTTCTTGTGTCCCCTTTGCGGCCCCGCCCGGCGTGCCCAGGAGGAGGAGGAGGAGGCCGAGATGAAGACGCTGCGGGGCCACTGCGGGCCCGTGTACAGCACGCGCTTCCTCGCCGACAGCTCGGGGCTGCTGTCCTGCTCCGAGGACATGTCCATCCGCTACTGGGACCTGGGGACCTTCACCAACACGGTGCTGTACCAGGGCCACGCCTACCCCGTGTGGGACCTGGACATCAGCCCCTACAGCCTGTACTTCGCCAGCGGGTCCCACGACCGCACCGCCCGGCTGTGGTCCTTCGATCGGACGTACCCGGTGAGGATCTACGCCGGCCACCTGGCGGACGTGGACTGCGTCCGGTTCCACCCCAACTCCAACTACCTGGCCACGGGCTCCACCGACAAGACCGTGCGGCTGTGGAGCGCCCAGCAGGGGAACTCGGTGAGGCTGTTCACGGGCCACCGCGGGCCCGTGCTGTCCCTCGCCTTCTCCCCCAACGGGAAGTACCTGGCGTCGGCGGGCGAGGACCAGCGGCTGAAGCTGTGGGACCTGGCCTCCGGGAGCCTCTACAAGGAGCTGCGTGGCCACACAGACAACATCACCAGCCTGGCCTTCAGCCCGGACAGCAGCCTGGTGGCCTCGGCGTCCATGGACAACTCGGTGCGCATCTGGGACATCCGCAACAGCTTCTGCAGCGCGGCCGCCGACGGCTCCTCGGGCGAGCTGGTGGGCGTGTACACGGGGCAGATGAGCAACGTCCTGAGCGTGCAGTTCATGGCCTGCAACCTCCTCCTGGTGACGGGAATCACGCAGGAAAATCAGGAACATTGATCTTTTTTTTTTTTTTACACCCTCGTGGTGACGGACCGGGCAGCCGTGGAGCGAGGGCTCCGGGCTGCATCTGACGATGGAATCACTGACTGACTGTGAAAGACTCCCCGCCTCTCCCCGTGTCCCGCGCGGGCATCCTGGGCGCGGTCACCCCTTCCTCGGCCCCCCCAGTGTCCAGGACGCGGGGGCGGACGGGCGGTGGTGGTGATGAGCGGACGTGAGATCAAGAATGGGGGTGCTCTGGAGGTGAGGGGGCATGTTCTTCCAAAGAGGCCCCCGTGTCCTCGCGAGAGCACCTCCTGTCTGTCTCATTCTCCCCCCTCCCCCACTTTGTGGAACCACGATGTTGCTGCTGACCGGCCGGGGGGTCCGCTTTGGTCCCAGGAGGGTCGCAGGTCACAGCCGCTGGCTGGCGGGAATGCAGGGGTGGGGGCGAGGAGCATCCAGGATTTTTATTGTTATTATAATTATAGTAATTATGATGATGATGATGATGATGATGATGATGGAGAAGGGGGCACCTAGCACTGGCAGAGGCGTCGCTCTGCTCCACCTTCAGGTCCGGCTCCTGGCACTGGCTCTGATGCTTGGCATGTTGAGGTTCAGGGAATCCGGGGGCTCCGGGAGCGCAGTGTGTTGTGGAAAAGGGAGGATTTCTGGGCGACGGG